CTGCTGGCATCACCTTCATGAGAACTGACAACTTTGTGTTCTCACTCAGCTCCTCCTTTGCCACCGTGGCATATTCATCTGCCAGCCTCTCCAAACCAAGCAACTGCTCTTGCAATGTCATCTTGTCCTTGCTGAAGTTCGGGTGGTTCAGATAGGCCTGCCGCAAAGCACTGCTTCTTGCTCTGGTCTTTGGAGTCAGCTGGGTGGATAGCTGCCTCCAACCCTCAAAGCCGTTCTTCTCTTCTGCAGCTCTGAGAACCTCCGTGGCCTGTTCTTGAGAACGCTCACCAAAATGGCGTAGAGCTTTTCAGACCTTTTCTTTCCCTTCTCATAGGCCTGCTCGGCAAAACAAAGCCATGACTTGAAGTGTAGCTTCCAGTCTTGCTACTGGCTGAGCTCTTCTTCCATGTTTGCCGGGCTGAATGGCTCTGGTGCCTTCACCACTTTTGAGGCTGTTGCAAAGCCTTCGCCTTCCTTTCTTTCAGTCCTTTCTTTCATGTCCTTCAAGGCTTTGATAGCTTCTTGCGCCATCTGTCCCGACTGCCTTGATGCTGTCACCAGGGCCTCTAGAGTTTGGGCGTCCATGGCTTCCTGAGCCTTTCTTCTTGTCTTCGTCTATCTTCGAGCTCCTTTCTTCTGGCCTCTCTTCGGGCCTCCCTGGATCTTTGGTTCACTGCCGGGGGTATATTTTCTGAGCCCCTCGGTGGCTCCGCTACCATGCAAAATGCCGCGAGCACAAGCGAACGCGGACCTTTTCAAGGGAACTCGAGCCTACATGAACAGGTCATGTGCACGATGGGTGACTGCATTACAAAAAATGTCAATTTAAAAGCTCACTGCTGCACTCCCATCGTTTCGGCTGTGCTAATCCAAGCCCCGTGCGACCATTTACAGTCCTCCTTTCCAGACTGTCTGCACTCGGGATTGGACTCAGCCGCACTGAATAGAACACAAGCACAGCATAGCATAGATGCTCTATTCGCACAAGAGCGTTCAAAGGCCCGGGCTCCAAGGCAAATGTCGATTTCAAAGAGCGGTCCAATCTAAGATGACTCCATGACTCCATGCTCTGCTGTGGTTCTCAGAGATGCAAAAAGCAAAAAGCAAAGGCAAATGCACAGGAGTCACCACCGTGTTTTGCTGGCTGCTCCACCTCAGCTCATTTGCTCATAAGTTTGATGTTTCTGGATTCAAGGAGTGACTTGTGGGTATGTTTCACAGGCGTCACGAACACGAACACCTTTTCATTGGACAGAAACTAAACCACTGGCGGCCCCTTGTGCAAAACAATTACAGTTTACAGTGTTGATTGTAACATAGTAGCTTGTGCTATGGCGCGGTGTACTGGAGTAATTTGCGCTGTAGTGAAATGTGTGGTGAAGTGTAACGTTCTGAGATGTAGCGGTGATCTGTGACGTGGTTATGCAAGTGATGTTAAGTGTGAGCTGGTGGGAGAGAATGCATTTGCGCCAGCCGATTCTCCAATCAACAGAACCAATGTCGCTTCGCCAAACCACTTGCTACAGACACAAAGCACCCCTCCATGGGAGGCAATAGTTTCATGATTGTCGGGGTTTCGCGACACGCCACAAAACCACCTGTGACATCGTTGTCAAAACACCCTTTTCTCCAGTAAAACAGCAAATCGTAACTTCCAGACAAACAACCCTTGTAACAGCACGTCCAAAATCTACTTTTCTCATCGTTTCTCCACAGTTTACAAGTCTACATCATCTACGTTACAAAACACATCTAGCAGGAACCTATAAATCCTGGTGTTCTAAACTCTGGTTTTCAGCGCGTTTTTTCTAGAAATCTAGATTTGCCGGATCTTTCTCTGAATGCTTTGCCGAACTCTTTCTCAGGTTTCTCTACTTCTCCCGGCCGTACTGCTCTCTAGAAATCTCTATTCTGAGGTATTTCTCCTCTGCTGTGCTTTTCTCTGGGTCTCTCTGCTGCTCAGTTCTATGTGTCTGTTTCCATGGAAATTTGAAACTTGACACCAGACACACACGATCAGAGGCATAAGTGTTGACATTCATTCTGCTGAAACTTACGTTTTCCCGTTTTCCCTCAGTGCTGCTCACGACCTGAGTGAAACAAAGAAGAAGCGGCTTCGGGGAAAGCAGCTGCAAAGCGTGAAGGGAGGTCTACCAAGTTTACACTGGTAGCGGAGCTTTTCAGCACCAATGGAGAAGGCCACGGTCCGACCTAATCGTCGTTCCGAAGCAGCCAGGGAGGAGGCACCTTGGAGACATCCGAAAATGGAGGCGAGGGCAGTTGTCTTGAACTCTCAGGGCAGCCCATTTCAAAAGCTACAGCTACACGCAACAGAATTGTGCACGGCAAACAGATCATCACCTTGCTTGGCAGACAGTGGGGAAAGAGTGGTCTTGAGTGCCGGCATTATGACTCAGAGCGGGCATTGATTGCTGTTGTCAGCAACAGTCTGATGAAACCAGCAAGAGCGGACATCTTGTAGACCAAGCCTGTGAGGAAAGTCAAATTGGAAGACCAGCACTCCTTCATCCTGCTGAGGAGTTCATCTCTGATCCCTCGAGGGGAAGACAGTGACGTTTGTGAGGATGCTTGGAGGTCAGTTCTTCGCCGATGTCACGGGCAAAATAAGCGCCCATCCAAGAACAAGGTCGATGACAGCCAGACACTGTTCACAGAGGATGCTCCTCGAACGTGGATCAGGCTTTCGCCGCCCAGGATGACAACTGAAGAAGCGTTCGTTGACCAGATGAGCGATGAAGGAGATCCTGCTGCGGTGTTGGTGGCTGATATTGAACAGCACGGGAGGTTCTCCAACAGGACCCTGACCTGGCCACAGACTGATGCGCCGAGGCTTTTGGCAGGTTCATCATGGGACGAATAAGGGTAAGGTCACCAGAGAACGAGATCGAATCAAGTGGCTTCAGCAACAAGAGACATAAAACTTTTGGGAGTGTGAATGTGCCAACCAATCCATGAGGGTCTCAGGCTTAATCAGGAAGCCGACATCCACCCCACGGAGGCTCAGGGAAGCTGGGGTGGGTGGGAGCGGCATCTGTGTCGTTGAGCCATTGTGCATTCGGTGACCGGGGACTCACGACCTGGAGGTGAAAAAGAGAAGAAGCGGCTTCGGGGAAAGCAGCACAAAGAGTGAAGGGAGGTCCACCAAGTTTACATGTGCAGGTGTAAAGCGTGTAGATTAACTGTGTAGATGCAGCGTATGATATTGTGTGTATATATATATATAGATGTGAGTTGTGCATATTGCTTTGCTTCTTTTGGAAGAGTCCTTTCCTCTTGGGGAAAAATGCAAAATGCATCAAAATGCTAAGTGCGTCTGGAACACTGAGCGTTGTCGTGTCTGCCAGCCTGTCACGCAGCCTTACTTTCCACAAACTCACAACTTTCAATTGCTTATATAACTGGCCTCTTAGCAATGAGCAACGTGTACGTCTGTGATAGTCAATGACTCGTCTATGACATTCTATGACCAAGGTCAAAAAATTGGGCACTGGCGGGTGCTGCACGTCGACCAGCTTGACCATGGTGCCAGTATGCAATTCTGCGGTATCTGGCGAGGGTTGCAACATGTGCTTCGGCGTTGCAAAAATGTTCTGAGCCTCGCTGCGACGAACACATACGTGCCTTCGGGCAGCCCATGGTTTGCACCAACTCTCCAGTACAGGGCCTTAGCTTCTTGTGCAAGCTTCAGTCAAGCACCAGGATTCCTGTCAAGCAATAAGAACCAAACATTCCGCCATTCATTGGCATCTTGACCACGTCGCGCTTTCTGTCCATTTGCAACCTCCCAAGGCAACGAAACCATAGTGCACCAAGGGTTTCACATGCGCCAAAGGGGGTCAAGTCATTGCCTCAATGTGCCGCCCAAAGTGCGATCGCACCTCTGCTGCTGGCAAAGGAGGAAAGTCACACTCAAACCGTTTTAGGGCTTATGCTAAGTTGTCATCTGCACCTGTGTTGCAGGTGACACCAATTTCAAAAGCAGGTTTGCAAGTTGCAGTCTATGGACATGAAAATGTGTTCTTCGGTTCCGGAGACAGGCTTTGTGGCACAGGGCTCAAGAATTAGCCAGAACAACAGGAAGACTACCTGCGAACGCCTTTAGCACTAGCGATGCCACTTGACTCAACACTTGTACTGGAAATCCTGTGCGCTCTTCTTTTTGTGGTTCTGGTTATGAAAGCATAGAAAACACCAAGGTCAAGAACAAGCCAGGCCGAGCATACAAAGCTGTTGATGGCACGTGCTGCTATCGTTCAAAACATCGCTCGTGCTCCTGGTTTTAAACATTTGACTTTTCATGTTCGACTCAAGACTCAACCGCCTCAAATATCACGATGCTCCGAATGACAAAAATCCCATTGAGAAAAGCGCAGCGCAGAATGGGCAGAAAAACAAAGCGCGAAAACACCACGCGAGCGATTCAACCAGGTGCCATGTCAACATAACTATATATATATATAATCGTTTACACCAATGCACTGGGCAATGTGCATGAACAGAGTTGGCGGAATGTCAGCACAAAGCCCCCACAAGTGGTCTGGATACCAGCAGCCCACACAAGCAAAGGACCACGTGACTCCACTCAGGCTACAAAATCATTGCAAAATCATAGAAACTCAATGAAACTAGAAGTAGACTTTGCAGAAGAAGGAAGGCTGGAGCTGGAGGACAGGAAGCAGACTGTTGCAAAACCTTTGTGAGATGCGAAAACATTGTCATTGCTTCGCGACTGCGGATTGCTGATCTGCCTTACAACAGCCTCTGGCCTATCACGCTCATGGCGTAGAGCTTTTACTTATGTCCGACTCAAGAATATGATGATGCGAACGGGCAATGGGTGGCATCAATAAATGATGTTTTCAGCAGGGGGATATGGCGGATACGGACTGTTGAGCATAAACCCTGGAAACACTGAAGCGAGAGATTAAAGCATCTCAAACTGTCTGCTGCAAGCTTCAGGCCCCTCCCAGTCTGACCAATCACTGACTTCGCAGTCCTGCCCACATATCGGCTGTCGGTTTGGTAGCCAAATGCGATTGAAGTCATTGAGTTGAACACGACGCCACAACGCACATGCGCCTGCGTTTTTTTGGCAAGTAGCTGGACAAACCTTCGTGTCCAGTATTGGACCTCCAGGCTGCTCTTGTCATCTATGCTTTGACAATCATATGTCTGTCTGGCATTACAGCTGCTGTCTCAAACTGGACCCAACAACCGAATACCTGCCTTCACAGCCGGTGCCGCAATCATTGTTGTGTTTGTTGATGATACGATGGCGCTCGCAAAGCCCTGGGCGAATGATGACAGTACTTTTGTATGTAAAAATTAAGGTGCAAAAAGACCAAGCTTGCGCACCCAAGCAGGTCGGATCTTGCCAATCGCTCCAATCTGAGAAGGTGCAATCCTCGGGAATGCACCTGGGTTACTCAGTAACTCAAAGGCACACGATTGGTTTAAGACTTTTCAAAGGCACCGGGGCAGATTGAAAAATCGAGGACAGAACGGCTCACACTCTTCAATGTCAGGACACTCTGTGACATTCAGCTGCGTTCCAGCCTGGGCTCCCACAAACTCCCAACGTCCTGTTTTACACAGAAGTACTGTAAGGACTGGGCACATGCTGATTGGTCTACTGCAAGGAAAAGAGATCCGGATGCGTAAGGCATGAGACCCAGTGCCTCACGCTCACCATTCATCAGGACACAACAGCCAAAGAGTCAAAAGCTACAAAAGCCAAGGGTCAGCAAGAATCAAAATGGTCGGAGTCAGGCGTCAGTTGCGGTCCGCTACTGAGGCTTCCTGCTCTGTTTCTGGTGGAGCTCGCAACCCCACATTTGTTGCAAGATTCTGACCTTGGTCTCGTGCATGCACCGGCCCTTCGTCTTTCTACCCTCTGCAGTGTTACCATACTGTAATTATTTTAGTCTTTCAGTCTTTCAGTGCCAAAGAATGAAGTTGTACATAGAATTGTACAATACAAATATGGAAGGTGCGATACATCTTCTATTTCGAGCAATTTCGAGCAAGCCCGACCCGACCAAGCTGCTTCCCAAGGCCATCTTTAGGTCGTGCATCCCTATAACATGCTGTCATTATGTTGGCTGTTGCTCTTGCCACTGGGCTTGTCAGAGTCAGCGCTGTTGCCATTGTTGTTTCTTATTGATTCTGTCAATGAGGCCTGTTATGACTCTTGTCATTTTGGTTTATCATCGGCACTACAGAAGATGGACAGAGTGTTCAAATCTTTATTCATGAATTCTGTGGCTCAGGTTCCATTCCTTCCGCCACTACGCCCAAACATTGCGCAAGGCTTGGCAACGTTGGTCCAAGGGGCCGAGGTTGAATATACAATATTGATCAATATTGCGATCTATCGTGTGTGTGTGTTGTGGTGGCTCTTATTGTTGTCGTTGTAGTTGTCGTCGTTGTTTTCAGTGTGGATTGACTACGGACTCTGCCCCCCTGCATTGATCCTTGACAAGTCTGAATGTGTGCAAGGATTTGCAAGGTCACCTCCAGAAAGCCACGTTGACCCAGAGCGACATTCAGGTGGTCGGGAGAAGGTTTGTACCGCTCTGCCTGACACTGAACGGAATCGGAGGATTCAGAACTTCACATTATTAGGGCTGTGGAAAGTTCATTCAGCGGTAACTCTTGGAAACTGGGGGTTCCCTCCCAAGTGTCACTTCCTGTGCTTCGTTCACCCGACTCTCATGCCACTGATCCTGCTTTGTATCAGGTGGTGAGCCTGTGGTGACTGGACACTATCGAGCAGTTTGTCGAACCTTGGACGGATGGGTGTCGATGGATAACAACAAGGAAGCTGACCTTGAGGACCCTGTTCACCTTCAGGAGGGACAGGACGTGGTGTTGCTATGACTTGTGAGGGCGGATGTTTTTTTCATCTTACGTCCCTCTCTGTTATTTCCTGATGAGCTGTTGGTCCAAGCACTCGGGTTTGCTAAGGAAAGTGACTGCGCACCACAGCAAACCCTGGACAGATCTCTTTGTCGGCCTCTTCGTACGACATGTGTGTTATGCGGCGTGTGGACTATTTGTACCCAGTGGACCCCTGCTGAAGCACCATGTTCAACAACGACATCCTGACTACTTACTTCGTGAGGCCATGCGCCGTTTTGTGCCTGCCACTTTGCATGAATCAGTCCCGTGTACTTCGTGTCATGGAGAGCTTGCACCGGCACCCCCTGGCAACCCACCAACCATGTTGTCAGGGTGCCCTCAATTTGGGATTGAGTTTGTTGATGTTCTTTGTACTTTGTACCATGGAACTATCTTTTCCTTCACCTCACCGCCGACTGAGCGTGCGCTGTGGGGGATGCAGCATCCCACCGATCATGCGGCAGCCCGGGTGGGCAAACCTCCGCCATCTGGCGGCATGCGCGGAAGGGCGGCAGCAGCCACGGGGAATGAGGCAGCGGCTGGGCTAGAGCAGTTCTTAGATCAGCTAATGGGTCACGGCCATTTTTGATGGCCTGGGATGAAGTCCCATGTTTTTGATAGAAGTCACCGGGCTCAGCCACCATGGCCACGGCGACGTCCGTGAGAAGCCTCGCAAGCAACGTGCACTCGCTGCTCCACGAGAGAGAGCGAGAGGGAGAGCGAGAGCGAGAGCGAGAGCTGAGCGAGAGCGAGAGCGAGAGAGAGAGAGAGAGAGAGTCAGGGTCGTGGTCGTGGTCGTTGCCGTTTTCGTTGTTTTGTTGTTGTTGTTGTGACTGTTGGTAGTAACAATAACAAACACCCTAGCATAGTTGTCACATGGTGCAACTCTCGAATTTCAAGGGGACAAGGTTAGGGATAAGGATTAAGGTTTGAGGGAATGTTGGTTCGTAAGTAGCTGGACTTGTTGGGTTTGTTCTTGTTTCACTGAAGTCTGGGTTTGTCCGTTCTTCGTGTTTTTGTGGTGTTATTCTGGACGGGTGGTCAAACAAAAACAACGTGGCTGCTTTTGAGGAGGGGTACAAAAAGAAACCACGGGGGATAGATAAATAGATAGATAGATCGATCGATCGTAGTCAGTAGTTAGGAGATAGCAGTTCGCAGTAAGCAGTTAGCAGTTAGTACTTAGTACTTATTAGTAGATAGTAGCTAGTAGCCAGAAGATAATAGGTAGATGTAGGTAGTATATTTCGTTGGTAGTTAGTAGGTAGTAACTAGTGTGCCCACCGCCCACAACGGGCCGTAATGTTTTCTGCCTTTTTGGACATTGTCATCGATTTCACTACAATTTCAGCGATGTAATTCGAAGGTTCATAACGCTGGGTATCTAATGTTTTCTTTTAATTGAAGACGGATGATCTTCGCGTCATGTCTACGTAAGTAACTTGAAGACCCTAACAACTACCAAAAACTCGATAGTTGGGGGCAACTTGATTTGAATGTTGAAGTGTCCATTCTACTGGGAAGCACACAGGAAATGTGTTTCCCAAAGTAATTACGCCATTCAATCCTTGAAACCGCTGAACAAATCTTCACAAAGCTATATAATTACGCGCATCCCAATCATGATGGTGATCCGAATTGTCATGTCGCACCACGGCCCGTTATGGGCAGTGGACCTAGTAGTTAGTACTTAGAAATAGTAGCAGTGGCAGCAGCAGCAGCAGCAGCAGGAGCAGCAGGAGCAGCAGCAGCAGGAGTAGTAGTAGTAGTAGTAGTATGTAGTAGTAGTATATAGTAGTAGTATATAGTAGTAGTATGTGTAGTAGTATGTAGTAGTAGTATGTGTAGTAGTATGTAGTAATAGTAGTAGTAGTAGTAAAGTAGTAGTAGTAGTAGCAGTAGTAGTAGTAGTAGTAATAGTTAGTAGTAGTTAGTAGTAGTTAGTAGTAGTTAGTAGTAGTTAGTAGTAGTAGTAGTAGTAGTAGTAGTAGTAGTAGTAGTAGTAGT